GTGGGGTCCAACAGTTTTGTCTGCTGGGAAGAGTGACGACATCAGTATTTCTTGGAGGCAGTCCAACTGATTAAGAATCGATGTATGCGACATCCTGTTTCTCTGGCTACGGAAGGAATCAATCAAGACACGACATTTTCCTTGTTCACCACTCCGAGCATCTGACCACCCTCCTTCCTCAGGAGTAGGTGACTCACCTCATGTCTCCTTGGTGTTTTTGCAGCCAAATCACCTGTTTTGTTTAAAAAAACCCCAAAACAACCGAAAACAGAGCCACAGGAAACTTGGTGGCCCAAGCATTATGGAGTTTTGTGTTGTGATTGAGCAACTAGAGGACAGTGTCCCACCCTTTCAACCATCATTAGAAGAGGTGAACAACTTTTTTTTTAGTCAGCCTGAATTAAAAAAGCCATTGCGATATAAAGCACTCGTATGGAATGGTAAAACTGTCCCCAACCCCAGCACTAGAGCATTATACTCTCTTCGGAGCAGGAAACCCCCATCTCCTCAAGTTCCACAAAAGCATCAGGTAAACAAATATAATATGCTTAACCTCTGCCATCCTGATTGGAAAGAAGCAAGTCCGGAGCCAAAACTTCCCAAAGAGCAGTACTTTCAAAAAAGTTTGTATGCTTTAACAAGCATGATTCAGGTATGCAGAATTCCTGACTCTTATGAACTGCTGTCGAAGGGTTCCAGGACACAACTCCGTGATGCGAGTAGCGTATTTTCTGTTATTTCAGGCTGAATTGCACTAAGATGGCACACAAAACGGAGAGCCACTCTATCCATACAGTGCCAATGTTAAATGATACTTGGATTACCATGGATATAACCTCACACACTTCAGAGGGTGCTGAAGGAGCTGGAGCACGAGTGCCAACACAGCCGTTTTTCCCTGATAATATGCTAGTGATACGCCTGAAGGGCCATCTTATGGCTGGACAACTTCATTAGGTTTCTTACTCCCCTTCTCTCAGCAGACTGCACTTTATCCAGCCTCGCAGCCGACAGATGTTGTGTACCAACCCCTAATTCCACAAACCCTGATTTGGAGCACTGCAGGAGATCTGATGCTATATTAGTGCTCCCAAAGTACTGCCAATACTAAGATAGGTTTCAAGAAGGAACCAAAAAGAACTGTGATCATGATTTATCCTCACCTCCCACTTGAAAGACACAAGCTCAAGCTACTATAATTACATGTTCTATCTATGGGTGTCTCACAGCACCTCGATATTCAGGTTAGGACAGGGAAGTCACCTTAACACTGGAGACATCACGATGATCTGCAAGGTCCCCTATCACTGAGAAACCCTGCCAATGCTTGCAAGGCGCTGAAACCGAGATCCTGTTTGTCACTGTGGGCAGTGCTGCTTCGCACTCCCAACAGCAGGAACATTTCTAGATTGCAGCAGGAAGAATCACAGAATATTTTTGGTTGGAGAAGACCACTAAGACCATCCAGTCCAACTATTAACCCAGCATGGCCAATCCCAGCACTGACCCATGT